TCAAAAGGCTTTTCCGCGCAGTTTTCCGCCTATATGCTGCCAGGCCATCGACCAAGTCGCATAAGGTCAGTAGCCATCATCAGATTGATTCGTTTGTCTACCATCCGATTCAGGACAATTTACTTACAATGATTCCGCTCTTACTTCGTTCGGCTGACAATGTTCAGCCAATTTTCGGTATACTGGCTGTACTGCTGAAGATGGAAACTGCTCTAAAGCTGGAAGAGTGAGGACAAGTCTCAATTCTATAGAATACCTTGAAGACTTACAGATTTTATTTAGCTCCCCAACAAGAGAGGAAGATGTGCGAAGTTCATTGGAAGTTCTTGATGAAGCGCGTAATTCGAATCAGTTTGTTCGAACTTTCTGCTATGGCGAACTGGCTGAGGTGTTGCGGACTTGTTTCGGATGTTCCAAATGCATAGCTATGGTAATAAAATGAAATATATTGCCATAAAGTGATGTTTCGCACTTTTCAGCATGAATGGTTGACGGTGTTCATAGAGGAATTTCGCTCAGACTTTTTCACTGATCGCTACGAGTCGTCAGGGTTGGTTGTTCATTAAATCTGCTTATCTGTAAATTCAAGGTTTTTTTTCATTGCTTTCATAGGGTTTGAATGATTTTCGTTGGTTTTTTCCTTTTTTTTCTATTTTTTATCTTCTTTTTTTTCGCGCTTAAAAGATGGTGCGCAGCATCTGCTCAGAAAAAACAACATAAATTGCAAATAACAAAATCATAATCACATCACTTTTATATGATTTTATTTTTACTCCGAGTCCATTCTTCAACTTATTCGAGGATTTAGTGAACTCGAAGGCGAAAGGTATCTCAACCAAGATTCAAACTTGTGGCTGAAGTGCCCGGATGGACAGAATCTAGGCGAGGCCATACCACTTTTGGAGGCTGTAGTGGTACCACAACCATTTTCTTTCAATCTCTCGGCTTACACTTTCATCTTTCATTACGTGGCCTTTCAATATCATTCAGGAAGCTATCAAATTGCAAGAGACATGGCCTGAAGCCGATACTATAGAAGCCACGCAGCGGGATCGATGGTCTAGGATTTTTTATGCTCTAGGTATGTTTTCTTGCTGTTCTTATATCATATTGCCCTGCGAAGAATAATTTTTTTTATGAATGATTCAGGTGCAAACATAAGCGTACAAGGAGTCGATG